TGCTGCCAGTTTGAGGCCATTCTGGGGTACATAGTGAGTTCAAGATCAGCCTGGACTACAGAGCAAGACCCTATTCCAAAAAGAAAAGGAGTGGGAGGAGGATGAGGATGAAGAAGGAGGAGGAAGAGGAGGGGGAGTGTGGAGGGGGACAGGAAGAAAAGAAGAAAACAGTAATGGCCATAGGATTGAGCCCTGGGGGAACTAACCAACACTTAGAATAGATATTCATAAGAGGGACTAAAAAGGAATACAGAAGTATTGTAAAAGATAAATCTTAAAAACAGAGATAAAGGCAGAAGAGTAAGTAGAAAAACAAGGGCACTGAATAATATAGAATGTCACTTTGCAGAAAGCTGTCGGTGTTGATCATTGTCAGTATCCTGATCATCATCACAAGAGCACATTTGATTTTATTAGTGATACATTAATGTGCAAATGTATTACCTGTTTTTCACAAGCCAGTAGTCTTTCCCATTAAGGTTACCATAGCCAACTGCTAGTACACCATGAGTCACATTCTGAGTACAGGAGGGGTCATCGTAGACACCTGAGAATAAAATATGGGTGAGTAAAGGAAAAAACAAACAAATGAAAAAAATAAACAAATAAATGAAAAAGATAAGAGATGGGTGAGGAAAAAGAGTGAATGATATATGATGGTTTTATTTTAAAATTTTTATGAAATCCTATTTATTTTTTCTTTAGTTGTGTGTTTTTTCATTTTTTTCTGCTGATTCTTTTTTTCTGGTACCAGGGATTGAACTCAGGACCTTGTGCTTTCAAGGCAGGCAGTGGAACCACTGAGCTAGATCCCTGGCTGTTTTTTCATTTTTTTGATTAGTACATTTTAGCTATACATAATGATAGCATTCATCATGGGGAATTTGTACCTGTGCATGCTATATCTTGCTTTTTTACCCATTCCCCATCCCCTCCCTTCAATCCCTTTTCCCCTCCTTATTTATGGTTTGTTTCCATTTTTCCTTCTATTCTCTTTCTTTTTTTACTTGTCCTTTCTTCCTTCCCCATATTGTTTTCCTTCTCATTTGAACATTTTCTTCTCATTTCCCAATATCTGTAATACATTTTGGTTCTTTTTCACACTTTTGGTTTCTCACACCAGAGAAACAATGCAGTATTTAAACATGTGTCCCCAGTTTACTTCACTTAAGAGTATAGTCTCAGGTGCATCTGTTTAGCTAGAAATGTCTCAAGCTTATCCTTCGTTATGCCAGAGAAACACTTCATTGTATTAAAAAAACACATCTTTATCCGTTCGTCAGTTGTTGGGCAATTGGGCTGTTTCCAAGTTTTAGCTATTACAAACTGTGCCACTATAAACATGGATGTGCATATATCGCTATAGTGTGATGCTTTTAACTCTTTTGGGAAGATACTAAGAAGGGGAATAGCTGGGTCAAATGGAACCTCTAGTTTTACTTTGTTGAGGAATCTCCACATTGATTTCCACAGTGGTTGCAACAGTCTACACTCCCACCAACAGTGGAGAAGGGTTCCTTTTTCCCCACTGCCCCTCCAGCATTTGTTATTGGTTGATTTCATGATAGCAGGCATTCTTTCTGGAGCGAGATGGAATCTCAGAGTTGTTTTAATTTGCATCTCTCCAATGACCACTGATGTTGAACATTTTTTCACATATTTATTTGTCATTTCTACTTCTTCATCTGAGAAGTGTCTATTCATTTCAGATGCCCGCTTTTAGATTGGGTCTTTAAATTTAGGGGGTCTGATTTTTTTGAGTTCTTTATATATTCTAGATATTAGTCCTTTGTCTGAGGAACACCTGGGAAAATTTTTTTCATGCAGCGTGGGTTGTCTCTTTACTATGCTGGTGGTTTCTTTTGCTGTGCAAAAGCTTTTTAATAAGATGAGATCCTAATTGTTGATTCTTTGTGATAGTTCCTTTGCAATCAGGGTTTTGTTCAAAAAGTCTTTGCCTACACCAATGTCTTCAAGAGTTCTACCTATTCTGTCTTCCAGCACATTAAGAATTTCTGTTTAAATATTTAGATTTTTTTTTTGGTACTGGGGATTGAACTCGGGTCCTTGCACTTGCGCAGCAGGCAGCAAAAACCGCTGAGCTAAATCCCCGGCCCTAAATATTTAGATCTTTGATCCATTTTGATTTTAGTTTAGTGCATGGTGAACAATATAGGTCTAGTTTTAGTCTTCGGGATGTGGAAATCCGGTTTTTCCAACACCATTTATTAAAGAGGCTGGGACCGGGAATTTAGTTCAGGGGTTCCACTGCCTGCCTTGCAAGCACAAGATCCCGAATTTGATCCCTGGTACCAAAAAAAATTACATTTAATTAAAGAGGCTACCTTTCTTCCAGTGAGGGTGTTTGTCTCCTTTGTCAAAGGTAAGGTGGCTTATGTGTTTGGAGTTGTTTTTCCATCTTCTAATCTGTTCCATTGATTCTCAGGTCTGATTTTTTGCCAGTTCCATGCTGTTTTTTTAATCACAGTCGCTTTACAGTATAATTTCAAGTCAGGGATTGTGATTTCCCCTGCTTTGCCTTTGTTGCCAAGAATTGCTTTTACTATTCTAGGTGTCTTCTGGTTGAATTTTAGGATTGTTTTGTCTAATTTTGTGAGATATGCTATTGGTATTTTGATTGGGATTGGATTAAATCTTTACAGCAATTTTGGAAGTAGGGCCATTTTCACTATATTGGTTCTTCCGGCCCAAGAACAAGGGAGGTCTTTCCATTTTCTGATATCCTCTTTGATCTCCTTTTTTAGAGTACTGTAGTTTTTAATATAAAGGCCTTTTAATTCCTTCATTAGCTTGATTCCCAGGTATTTCTTTTTTTTTTTGTACCGGGGGTCGAACTTGGGTCCTTGCGCTTGCGCAGCAGGTGGCGGAACCACTGAGCTAAATCCCCGGCCTGGTATTTCACTTTTTTAGAAGCTATTATGAACAGTGCTGAATTTGGTTATGTAGAAGTCTTTCGGTGGAGTCTTTGGGGGGTCTACCTACTGTCCTTTCTCCAACTTCTTAGCACCTCGGCCAAGTCAGTTGGCTGTAGAGTGTGGATTTACTCTGGGATCTAGTGTGTTCCTCTGGTCTGTTTTTATGCTAATACTGTGTCTGCTGTTTTGATTACTACTGTGTCTATTTTGAAGTCAGGTAGTGTAATGCCTCCTGCTTTGTTATTTTTGCACAAAATAACTTTTGTTTATATGTATGTGTGGTTCCATACAAATTTTAGGATTTTTTTTTCTAGCTCTGTGAAGAATATCAGTGGTATTCTGATAGGAATTGTAGTGAATCTCTAGTTCACTTTGGGTAGCATGGACATTTTAACAATATGGATTCTTGTAATCCACGAACACAAGTTATCTTTCCATATTTTGTGTCCTTTTCAATTTCTTTCATCAATGTGTCATAGTTTTCATTATTATTGATATTTTTCACCCCTGGCTAACTTTTAGGATTCTTTTTGGTAGCTACCATAAATGGATTGCTTTCTTGATTTTTAGTTCAGATACTTGGCTATTGTATAAAAAAACTACTGATTTTGGTATGTTGAGTTTTTATCTTGCATTATTAAATTTGTTTAAATTGCATAGTTTTGTTGGGTTTGGTTTGGTACTGGGGATCAAACTTGGGACCTTGTGCTTTCGAGGCAGGCATCAGCACCACTGAGCTAAATCCCCTGCTTAAGTTGCATAGTTTTTAATCTCAGCTCACTTTTGGGTTGTACAATTTCAGGCAAGATAATCCCTCTAGAGAGTTTTTCCATCTGCAAATTAAAGTCTTTGTGAGGGTTAAATAAGGTAACACAGGGCCAGAGATTTAGCTCAGTGGTTCCGCCACCTGCCTCTCAAGTGCAAGGTCCCAAGTTCCATTCCCGGTACCAAAAATAATAATAATAATAATAAGGTAACACACAGAAAAAATTGAGCATAATACCTGGCATTTAGTGTTAGTAAGCTTTCATAAGTACGGTTTTCCTAATTAGACGTGGGTACAAAACACTTAAATGAAATGGGAGATTCTGCCTAACCTATTTGGACACTCAGGTGGAGTGATGGAAAGGCTTCTATTCTTTCCTGTGTGCAAGGTCAGCATATAGCAAGAAGCTCACATATCCGTTTTACCATTTTTGTAGAGGAAGAACGAAGGGCGGCTCGCATCAACAGCAACAGACACTGGTCCTTTGTTGGCCACGGCTTCTTTCAGGGCTTCTTCGCTGCCGTAGGGAAGTTCTGTGTAACGTGAACATGTGGCAGCACGATTTTTTGAATCATAATGGCATTTTTCATCCTGCAAAAAAAAATGTGTGTGTGTATATATATATATATATGTATGTATGTATGTATAATAGATGAAGTATATATTTCAGTTTGCTTTATAAATCACCAATATCCTAAATCTGGATTTTAAATACATTTTCTTTTCTCGCTTTAACATTTTCAAGTGGTGAAGACTCCTCTTTTGTTTCTCCTTTTTTGTTTTTTTGAGACAGGGTCTCGCTATGTTGTACAAGCTCAGACTCTTCACAATCCTCCTGCTTCTGCCTCCCAAGTGCTAGGATTATAGGCATGTGCCACCACTCCCAGATCAGACTTCTTCCTTTGAAAGAAAGAATAATCAAATTGTCCAAATCCAGATTTCACCCATAACAAAGAAAATATAGAACTATTCCATTGCTCTAAATTGTAAACATCTTTTATACACAAAACTTGCCAGGAGCTAGGCATGGTGGCACACACTTATAACCCCAGTGCTCGAGAGGCTGAGGCAGGAAAATCTCTGCAAGTTCTTGACTAACCTGGGCTACATAGTGAATTCAAGGCCAGCCTGAACTACAAAGCAAGATTCTGTCTCAAAAAAAAAGAAAAGAAAAGAAAACTTGCCAGGACAATATATGAGGTGTATTGTAGGGTGATACTACACAGACATCGGAAACTCTAGACTTGAATTTTAAAATCATTTTTATGATATGATGTGTGCAAGATGTTTGCAGTTAAAATGACAGTTTATAAGTTGAGTGTGGTGGTACATCCCGCTAATCTTAACATTCTGGGAGGCTGAGGCAGGAAGAGCAAATTCAAGCCCAGCTTGGGCAATTTATCAACTTAACAAAATCCTATCTCAAAACTTCTAGGAATGTAGAAAATACTAAATTTACTCCCCAGTATTAAAAAAAGAGAGAGAGACGGTTTATAAATACCATACATGCTGGGCATCGTGACCCAGCACCTGGGAGGCTGAGGCAGGAAGATCACTGTGAGTTCAAGGCTAGCGTAGGCTACATAGCAAAACCCTGTCTTAAAAAAAGCCATACAATGTGGCAAACACCTGTTAGTATATGTCAAGTGGGAAAAGGAAGATTATAAATCTATGTTTATATAGGCTACACATTACAAATTCATGTATATGGAACCATATTTTAAAAATGCTTAACAGGAAAAGAACGTGAGAGAAATAAACCGAACAGTAAAAGTTAAAGTAAGAGATATTTGAGTGTTTTGTTGTTGTTTTGAGACAGGGTCTTATAATGTAGTTCAAGGTGGCCTTGAACTCACTATGTAGCCCAGGCTGGCCTCAAACTCATAGCAATCCTCCTGTCTCAGCCTCCTGAGTCCTAGGATTATAGTGTGCACCACCATGCCTGGTTTGAGTGGTATTTTTAATCTTTTCTCAATTTTCTATAACATGGACATACTATTTTATAATTTAACAAAATGTGTAATAAACTTGCAAAGAAGAGAACATTATTGAGCTTCTTAGTATGTGGAAGAATAATCTTTCTGATGGCCTGAAAGTAAGGTTGAACATGGGACAGTGCAGAACAAAAAAGCTCAAGTCTGAGGCAGCTGTACAGAAAGAATTTTAAGAGTGATTTGCTTAAAGTCTGTGTTTAAGAATGATTGGTACTTGTTTGTTTAAACACATTGTGCCACTGATTAGAAGGCTGCTGCACAAGAAAGAAATCTTGAGAATTTAAGAGTCTCTGGCTAGGGTTCTCACACACACACCATGGCTTCTGAAGCAGCCAGCTTGGTGGCGAGCCCTATGTGGTCAGTGGTGGACAGTGGGTGGTTGTGGAGCAGCACACAGTTCGCTTGTGACCCACCGTGGCTTTGTAGGGATAGGAAGTTTCTGAGTCAATGCCATTGTTATCGATGACATACTGGAAGGCCTCCGTCATGAAGCCACCGCTGCAGCCTTTATTTCTATATTTTTCAGTTGAACAGTCCACCAGGTTCTGTGCACTGAGAGATACCAGCTTTCCTGTTTTCAGCTTCAGCTGTCCTTCCAGGGCCCCCACCGCACTGAAAGCCCAGCAGGAACCACAGGCACCCTACAAGAAACAGGTCACAGGGGCAGTCACAGGAAGTTGGAAAGGATGGCCCTAGTTCCCAGGAAGAGCTCCCCCACTGCAGTCTCCTTCTCTGTGGGAATGAGGTCTGACTATCTGATTGTTCTCTAGGCCGAGTCCATCTCATGGGGACTGGAAATGGCTGGGCTCAGACCATAATGGACATACTCAAAGCTATTAAGGAATGGTATTCACTGAGCATGTGCCAGATTCCACCCATCTTCCCTCGGAGGGAAAGGGGTAGATGCATACCGTTAAGGGATTTTGAGGGAGAAAAAATGATTTCCTTGTCCTGAAGTTGCCTTCTTCCTGCTAAATGATGCCCCAAACCCAAGAGCTTTAATTCTAGGTTAAAATTTTTCAAACATTATCAAACTATCAAAAGATATTTTTATATCAAAATATATAAAACTATCAAAAGATATTTTATAAGATGGCACAAGGAAACAGAAACAAAACTGCTTTAGTTAAAATAGATGTGGAGGGTCCAGATCCCCATCAGAACTGCTTGTTCCCTCCCTGTCTCTCCCTCTTCTCTTTTCTCCCCTCTCCTACCTCACTCTCTACCCAAAGGAGACAAATTGAAATGGCTTTAGTTAAAGCAAAATTGTGCATTAGAATGCAACATTCCGAAAAGGGCTTGTTATGGCTTGTGTCTAGATGCCCCTCGAAGCCTCATGCAGTCGTAGGTGCGGCTTTTCAGGGGTGGCTGGGTCTAGGGTGTGTGATGCTGGGATTGATTCATGGTGCCACCTAGGCTCAAGGGCACTAGGATTATGGGTGTGAGTGCTGCCTGCCCTAAGTAGCCTGGATAAGATAAAAAGGATAGAGAGAGCTGTGGTTCCCTTGTTGCTTTGGTACCTTCTGCCCACCCTGAACTGTCTCTCCTCCAATGCCCTTCTGCTAGGCCACCCTGCCTGGGAGCCAGCTGATTATGGACTGAAACCTCTACAAACTGTAAGCTAAATAAACCCTTCCTCTCTTAACTTTGGGTGTCAGGTATTTTGCCTCAGCAGTGAGAAAAGTAACTGACACAGAGCTCATAAATTACTCAGAGTTAATTCCCAAATATGTAGCTGATTGGTCTTTCCCATACTTTGATTTTTACAGAAGCTTAAGTAAGAAACCTGATACTAGTATTGGGGGGGAAAATATATGAGTGGGAAAGGATAAGAGATTAGCAGTGCTATTCACTTTTCTTTTTCTTTCTTTTTTTTTTCGGTTCCAGGGATTAAACTCAGGACCTTGTGCTTTCGAGGCAGGTGGTGGCACCACTGAGCTAAATCCCAGGCCCAACTTCTTAATAAATTTTTGCTTTCTTCCTTGGTCACACACTGCAGTAGCTGCTCAGAACGCTCTGATTCTTCTCCCTTACCTGACCTCTAAGGTGTGTTTTATCCTTAGTTATTGCTGACTCATTTAGGACTTTTGTTGCTTTAAAAAAAATAAAATAGTAAAGGAAAATACAACATAGAAACAACAATTTTGCAAAGCATAAATTTCTTACCTAACAATGCAATCCTAGCTATCTATTATCTTGACTGGCCAAGGCCACTCTAGCTGTAGATCTTTCCTGTCCTTCCACCCTGAAATCTGTAAAGTTAAATGGAAAGACAAACTTTTTTTTTTTGTACCAGGGATCAAACTCACAACCTTGTGCTTGTGAGGCAGGCACAGTGTCACTGAGCTAAATCGACAGCAAGACAAACTTCTTGATCAGGCTTCCCTCACACCAGATACTGCTTCTCAAGCAACTGGTGTGATGAGCAGTCCAGTGCAATCAGTGGATGACATGAGCAGTAACATTTTTTTCTTATAGACCTGATTACATGGGTCACAGTTTTTGTCTAGGATGGCTGTATTGCCACTGGTGTTCTGGGCATTCTGGCCACAGTAAATATAGTATGTGACCTTTGCCCTCAGGCAGCTTACTGAGAAGACAAGAATAACAATTAGACAGTAAAGCAAGAGGGCCAGGGATTCAACTCAGTGGCACTGCACCTGCCTTGCAAGCGCAAGGTCCTGAGTTCCATCCCCAGTACCAAAAAAAAGAAAGTAAAGTAAGAGCTTGAGATTCACTGTCAAATTATGTAGCTACTCATAGGAAGAGAGGTCTGCCTATGGTGCAGAGGCCTCAGATGGTTTGCTCACCTGGTATTTCACTTCAGTAACACAGCCCTTTTCTCTCCAGTCCACAGAATCCGGCAGTTTCTGATTAGGGTCTGATTTGTAAGTGACATTTCTGAGCCATTGTCTGGGAACTCTCAGGGAGCTCATCAAAGACCGCACTTCTTCACTGGTCTACAAAGCAAAGATACATTCCCTTTCACTCATAGCCTTCTTCTACGTATCCTAATAACTGTAAATGTGAATTTATTTTAAAACTGAGAAAAGCTGGTGATAGTTGTGACCAGGAAAGGTACCACTGAATGGTGGGGTGAATTGTCCAGATGTTTTTAATCTTGGACTTTGCATTAGCTTCTTCTCAGTTAGCTAAGCACTCTCATTGAGAAGAGGAACAAGAAAATGATAAAAACTGAAAATTACAGGGAAGCAGAGGCAAGGAAAAATTTTGTAAAAAGCACTGTCTGAAAGTGGGCCAAACTGGTTTTCTTTGTGAGAAAGAATTAAAAGGAGATTTGAGCGTTTAAACAGGAATGTGGTCTCCTGAGGGTGTCGCCTTCCAAATAGTACCATGATTCTTAATTTTAGCCACAGTGGTAAAGTGGTGCAGAGCAGAACAGAATCTGTAACTGATGTGAGGGCCAGGGATGCAGCCCAGTAGGAGAGGCCTCCTTAGGATGCCTGAGGCCCTGGTTCAATCTCCAGCACCCCCCCCCACACACACACACCCCAAATGGGAGATTATGATACTATGTACCCATGTGTCCCCACTAAGAGTAGGTGGGCCTGCTTTGTCAATTTACACTTACATAAATATAGTAACTTGCTATATAAGACTACGAGCAGTCTTCAGAAAGTTCTGGAATTCATTGAAAAATGAAAGCGATAGAATCTATAAATACTTATTGAGTTTTTTGGCGGAATTTGATACATCTCCATTGTATTACAGTTGAGCCATTAATCTTGCAACTTCATCAACATTAACTGGTTCATCTTCATGATGCTGCTGATTATTCAGCTCTTTCTCCAGTGGTTCAAGAGGAAGCCTTTTTGAGAAATTTGCAAGTTCCTTCTGAATGTTTACAAAAGCATTAAGAGTTTTTTCATCATTTACAATGTTTATCTTTTTAAGATTAGTGGTGACTGGTTTTGCTTTGTTTTTGGACTTAAAGTTCTTTTGCCTGGCTATGTGAAATACATTCCTGAACTTCTGCCCTGTTAATTTGTTCTTGGCCATTGTCTTTGATATCTGTGTGCTGCTGCTCAAGCTCCAGGTGACACCCTCTGCATGCACAGGGTCCAGGAAGTTCCGAGGAAAGCGACAGAATCTGTGAGTTTAAAATTTCCAGTAAAGAGGGGACTTGTAAAGGAAAGTGGTCAAAGTGGGAATTTCAGTACAAATTCTTGTGTCCTTAAATTCTACTATTTTCTCATTTTGTATGTGTATGGCTACATGCTCTTTTTTTGTCCCTTTTGGTGGTGGTGCTGGGGATTGAATCCAGGGCCTCCTGCATGATAGGCAAGTGGCTCTCCAGCCGTGGCTCTTCTCTGAGGCTCCCATTGCCTACTTTCAAATTGTTTTTGAGGATATGCAAATCACACAGCCAGACATGAAAGTAGGATCACAGTAGAGCCTTGGCTCATGAGCTTAATTTGTTTCATGATTTTGGAAAAGATGGCCATGTTTGTGTTTGTCTAGGAAACATGGCCGCAGTCATGTTTGTCATTTGATGAAGAATTTGCAAACAGTGACCAAATTTTGCCAAACCCTTCTATTTATGAACCAGACTGTTTGCAAACAAAAGCACTCCTGAACTGTGGTACCACTGTATCTGTAATTTGCCTACCATGTCTCCCAGGTGGTTCATGCCGAGATCATAGGAATGCATTCCCATTGAATGTTCCAGGTTGTGAAGCATCACGAACTTTAGATTTTTCTCCCAGATGAGCCGCCGTACTTGTTCTTCATTCTAACATACAAGGTAGGAGAACAGAGTTATACCTCATTCTGGACAAATTCATGTTCAATAAAGAAAGTAGCATTTTGTTTTGTTTTGTTTTGGTACTGGGGATCGAACTCGGGTCCTTTCAGTTGTGAGGCAGGCAGCAGAACCACTGAGCTAAATCCCCAGCCCGAAAGTAGCATCTTATGAAGCATTCTATCAGTGTATCTCTGTCTCAGGGCATAGAAATAAATGAATATATCCAATATAACTGCCAAAGTCACATACTAATTGTAATTCTGGCCCTTAACTGCTTTGGTGGTTATTAATATTTTATGATATACACAATTAATTTCCTCCAAATAATGTTAACAGTTTTGTTTTTAGAAACTACTGTTTGTTGAAGTATATCATTTATAGGTGTAAACTCAGTCTTTATGGATCTCCATAAAATGTTTTGACTCTCACTCTTGAAAAAGTTTAGCTGATTATAAATTTCTAGCTATTTTTCTTCAGCTATTTGAAGATGTTTATCCATTATCTTCTGATAGTTGTTGTTGCACATGAGAGATGTACTGTCGGTCTAATTATTGTACCTCTGTTTTTAACTCTGGTAGAGTTTTCTTTTTTATTTTCATGTTCTGTAGCTTCTATTTACCTTCTGCTGGTTACTCTTTGTGTGGGGGGGAACTACTGGGATAGAGCTAAATCCCCAGCTCTTTATTATTATTATTATTATTTTAAATTTTAAGTTGCCCAGGCTGTGCTTGAATTTGCCATCCTCCTGCCTTAGCCTCCCAGAGGGCTAGGATTACAAGTGTGTGCCACCACACTTGGCTATGTTGGGTACTCTTGACTGAATAATTCAGAACTTTTCTTGTAGTTGGAAATTTTCAAACAGCATTTTTTTCATATATTGCTTCTCCACCATTTCATCTAATTTTCTCCTTCAGAAATGCCTATCAAATGTATTTTGGAGCTGCAAACACTTTTTCATCTCTTACTTACACTGCACAGATTTTCCTTTTTATTGTCACGTGCTGCATTCTGGATGAGTGTCTCAGCACTGTCTTCCAGATGACTGATTCTAGCCAATTGTTTTGGTCTGGAGTTTATCATATTGATGGAATTTTTATTTCAGTGGGTATTTTTTTTATTTCCAAGATTTCTAATTTATTTCACAAATTTAATGTTCGTCAGTGTGTGTGTTTTTTCCTTTATGTATAAAGTCAGTTTTAGTTCTGTTATTTTAATTTTATCCAGAATAAAATTATATGCTGTCTGTTGTGTTTCTGGTCCTCTGGGAGAGTCATTACACAGAATTTAATGTACACAAGGGACAAAGTGTACCTGGTACTTCCCATAATAGCTGACACCCTCCACTACCACCAAGGCCAGAATGAGCTGTGGGCCCTGTGAGCAGTCATTAACCCCTGTTGCACCCCTTCTCATTGAGTGCAAGAACCCAGCCCCAGAACCTGGTCTCAGGAAGCCTTACAGATGCAGCCCCCTCACTTTGGGAGCAAGTTTTACTAATACCCAGGCATGGACATAATGAGGTTGCATGATGGGCATACGTCCAAACCACTAGAGAAGAAAATGGGATAAATGAAAATCTAACAAAGTATAAGAAAGGAAAAAAAAAAAGTGGAGTTGAGATAAATTATCAAGGTAGGATACTAGTCACAAGCCATGATTATTCCTCCTGAGGGGTTGGAATGACATTCACTTAATCCGATAGGGATGATAATTGCACTTTTTTTTTT